GGGGAAGAACAGCTATAGACCAGTAGCCCCAAACTCCACTTGTGCTAGCACGCCCTAGGGGTACTTTTGTTGTGTTCCTGTTAACTGCCGTAACTTTAAAATCTGCCGCCACACGCCCGTAATAACTTGTGTATTTGCATCCAGTTGCTTAAGTCGGTTTTTGCTTTCTTTGTGATATTCAAATATTTGCATTGATTCCAAACAGATGTATAGGATGTTGCGTTTGTTCGTTCTTCATATGTGTATGTCTGTCAATTCGCGAGTGTCCTTTTTTCATATATCTTAAGGTGTTGGAAATGTAATATGTCCGTGAATAATAACAAGGGGGTTTTTGCGCTGAGGAGTAAATCTTCGCAGCTTCTTTCCTCTTCCGAGGGGGTGCCGTGCTCCCCCTCCAAAACAATTTTGTCTATCATTTCTTGCGCTCTCAATTCACATACAGTCTATGCTCACTTGTATGAAAGAACGTCTTCCCGCCATTTTTCAAAAAAAAAAAAAAACACAACGTAGGTTTCCATTTGTTAGTCGATCACAGCCAAGGCCAAATTTTGAATTTTTTTCGCGGGCCTTTCAAACTTTTTCAAGGTCAATTTAAAGGCGGGAAGTTTGGGTTATCACAGTTTCTTAGTTCGGGTCATGCTTTAATTAGCTATATTTGTGAGTGTGTATTTTGGATGGCGGCAAACGAGGCGTCAGTTTCACCGTTTTTTGTTCAGGCAGCAGCCATTTTGAAAGCGTCCATTTTTTTTAACTGAGCACATGTTTTAACTGTAGAATCTAATTAACAACATTGTGGGTCATGGGGGCACGTGCATTTTATTGCTTTGATTTAGACCATTGTTTGCACAACTCCACAGGATTCATCGCATTTTTGCATCGCATATTTCGACGCCTATTTTTTGGAACGACGCATTCGTCCGACGCCATTTTGTACCCGCAGATTTTCTGCCATGTTTTTTGTTTATGTGTTTGTTTGGGGAAATGTATAATTTCACCTTTTAAATTTTAATCAATAACTTGAATGGACACGAATTATTATTAATCTCTTGTAAATTTGTTAGCTTTGCAATTTTCACTTCATTCAATTTTTCTTTATCCCACAATTTTAGCCTCAGTAATTTTTCTTTGTTGTATAATTTGAATTGAACGTAAATTTCCATGCTCTGCAGTTTAACCTCACGTAATATTTATTTTGTTATTATTATTATTATTATTATTCTTTGAGCGGAGGCTAGCGCCTATTGGGCTCACGAAAGGTTCTTCAGATGCTTGAGTATTAAAAAAAAAAAACTGATAAGGCTGGCGTATGCTTAAACCAGAAGAAGCTTTGATTTAAAGATATTGACACTTTCAGAATCAATAATATTAGCCGGTAACGCATTCCAAGCATTAAACACTCAGTTATTTAAAAAATGTTCTCGGGATCTGGATTTGTACTTCTCGTGTTTCAATTTCAAACGGTGACCACGCAGGCGATCTTCTCAGTTAATGTCAAATAAGGTGGACAAATCTATTTTCAGGTAGCCTTTTAATATTTGAAACAAGTTTATTTCACAGATCTTTGTTTTTATAAATCTTTGCTAGTTTTGATCATGTAAATATTTTATTGATGAATGTTCTATCATGTAAATTATCTGATGTCCAATTTTAATCTCAATTAATAATTATTTGTTGTTGAATTTTCGTAAGAGTGTATGGCGAATTTAAATGTTGTTTATTGCTCTTTTGTTGAAACTTTAACACTTGTTCGGTTGTAATTTAATATTAGAGTCATAGATATTGAACATTTAAATGGAATTGAATTCAAATAACGCAATAACACGTAGTGTAGGTGGGGTGCGCGATTCCTTCTCAAACTGACGGGATTTATCGCGTCACCTGCACACAAGTCCGCAGGTTTGTATAGAGTCAGGGGCGGTCGCCGGTGTTGTAACGCTGTCGGCTTCTGTCCTTAGCCGAGACCCAACTACGGATCTGCGATCGTAAAGGCGGCCACACACACAGAGGGAAGAGTCAAAACTTGAATGTAAACGGGGTACAGTTAAAACTGCTAGTGTGTGGGAAAAATGTGGCATGTGCAGTCAAGTCTGTTGGAATAAAAATTGGTTTGATTTTTGGCGTGCACAGTTATAACTGCGCGGGGAAAACTCAGTGTGTGGACACAAGTCACTGCACGCTTGAGTTTAAATTCAGTTGTGCGGTTTAGAGAGTACGGCTTTAATACGACAAGCGTGCACACTTTTAACTGCACAGTCTTCCCACTGTGTGTGTGGCCGCCTTAACGGTCTAGTTTCGGACGGCATGTTCGTCATGGAGATGGGCTGTACGGGTAGGCTTGGGATAGATAGAATCACCGTCGTGGGGGAGAGCAGTGACGACTAGGAGTCCCAACCTCCACTCGCGCTACGACGCCCCCTCTGGGTAATTTGCTGTGCTCGAAAATGAAATTGATATATTTAGTTCGATCGCTACACTCTCATAACGATTCGGGTACTGCCATCCATTTTACATATGTGTAGGTTTTTCTGTTTGTTCGGTTTTCATATGTGTATGTCTGTCAATTCGCGAGTGTCTTTTCTTTCATATTTTTAAGGTGTTTCATTTGAAATGTCGGTGAATAAACCATAGGGGGAAGCAGTATGTGCGAATCAAATTGTGAATCTGAAGATTCTGTGTACGTGCCATCTGAATCAGTGCAACTGCAAATGCTGCTATTCAAGATTTGCTGCCAGACAAATCAAAAGTCCGATATGAAAAAGCGTTCACAACGTTCGAACATTGGTGTAGATAATTCCAAAAAGGTAAAAGGAATTACAGAGGATATTCTTCTTGCATTTTTTTTTTTCGGAGAAAAGTAATCTGTATAAATCATCGACTATGTGGAGTGTGTAGTCTATGTTAAGATCTACGTTGTTGCTGAAAAAGAACGTTGACATTAAAAAGTTCTCCAAGTTAATAGCATACTTAAAAAAAAATCCGTGGGATACCAAGCGAAAAAGTCGAGAACATTTTCACAATCGGAAGTCCATCAATTTCTTTTTATTAAGGCTAGATCGGAGGTATCCGAATACGTGCGTAAACATTTCACTTTTTACGCTTATTATTATTAAACTTGAAGAACAGCTTAAGGTGGCAATTAGCAGAAAATAAATTATTCTAATTTAAATTACAGTAATTTGCTCTAAATTAATTAAAATAATAAAAGCAAAGAAGTCACTCAGTTACATACAGATCAGCGTTAGCTCATTTTACACAGAGCTGGATGTTAACAGGCGCACCGGGAAGTTTTTTGCGGAAAAATGAATAGTTTATTAAGTAATTTAGTTAATAAAATCTATCATCTAGGCAACTTATTATACACTCTTAATGTTTTTAAACGCATCGGCCAAAGCTTCCAAATAATTTATGATGGTCCAGCATAAAGTAAAAGATGTACTACTAGTATTTGTTTTTACAGTTTTTTTGTTTTGCAGGTTACGCTAATAATAATTAATTGCATAGGCTCGGACATGTCGTTGTGACGAACTCGTGAAGATGTTGACTGACGACGTCGACGACTGTCCTGACTCAAAAACGCATAAACCAAGACGTTTTGTTGTCGTTAATGGTCAGGATATCGACAATATTGTTCTTTACAGGAAATATATAGCGTTGAAACCGTTCCACATAACACACCGTCGTTTATTTTCAAATTACAAAAAAAGAAAATGTACAGTTCAACCTGTGGGTCTGCATACTTTTGGAAAGATCCCAGGTTACATTGCTGGATATCTGAATTTACCAAACCCTAAAGAATACAGCGGGCATTGCTTGCGCCGTAGCTCGGCGACTCTATTAGTGGGCGTAGGAGGAAATTTAACAACGCTCAAGAGACATGGGGGGTGGCAGGGTAATTGTAGCGGAGGGGTACATAGCTGATTCGATAAAAAACAAATTAGAAATTGCGAATAAAATACAAGGAAGAACAATAGAAGAATCAAGTAATGTTTTGAATTCATCTTGCTCGATTCCCTCTGCAAATTTACCTATTATCAATGTTTCGATTGTTCAAAATACAATACTATTAACTTAAATGTTACGTTTTAATGTTAAAAATAAAGAAATAAAAACTGAAATTTTGACAGCTTTTCTGTACCAACTAGTCTGGAAAGTTCAATTTTCCTGCCCCAAAATGTTCGAGTAATTGATTAAAATCAGACGATTTCAGAAAAAATACTACATATTACGCCTTTTGTTCTTCTAAAGTTAATTGGCTAAAATGGTACTACGGCAGATAGTCAGTCCGGAAAATTTCGGGAACTTCAGCAGCGCTTTACCCAAACCGACAAATTTCAGGATGATAAGAGTCTTCCCAATAGTTTTAAACGCAAGATTGTTACTGGTGCTAGTGCAGAAAAAAATTGAAGCTGTTCTTATTTTTGAAAGTTTATTAATCTAAGTGATTCTGAATTTAGGGCTTATAGTGAGTGATTCGTTCATATATCTAAAGCTAACTTGACGTCGTTTTTATTTGAAGGTTCGTTAGTTGCAAATAAAACATGCTTAAGTTTCTTTTGAACTCAAAATCAGATTTATGAATTTCAACTAGACAGCCCAAATGTAAAAATAATGAATTTTATATGTCATGGCTAGTACTATTTTATCACGAATCGTTATTTCTTTTTATTTCAATACCATATGGTGTTACAAAAAGAAGAAAGAATGATTTGGATACAATTTTTCATTCTCTATAACTTTTGTGTATAACGTTGATCTAAAATAATTTGGGGAACCAATATTTTCAAATTTTTGCTTTGACATGTAAAATAATCACCATATTCCAAAAACGATTTTATAACCGATATATTAAAATTTTAACCGATTTATTAAAGAGAATTTTACAATTAATAAATAATTTATTCTTAAACAGTTGGATAGACAGATACTATTTATGGTGTATTGTTCACATTTCCCCACACAATTGTTTTTAACTTGATTTTTATTGTAAGCATTAGTCAAACAAATTTAAACTATTTATGTAATTACTTTATACATTTCTTAAAGCTGGTTGCAGTATCAACTATATACATATCTAAAATCTGTTATACATTGTCATGTTTGGTAATGTATTAGTCATCATCAATTACAAACCCTGTCCTAGGTTGTTGAGCATGTTGATTCCTTTGTAAAATATTTAAACATTGTGTTAGGCAGTGCAAAGAGGCTGCAGATGTGGCTTTTAACAAAAGTAAATTAGGATCAACAAAAAATTTGCTGCCTGCAGATTCTATTGTTCTACATAGAGCTGAATCTGCCTGTTCAGTTTGCGTTATTTGAGCCCTTGCATAACCCATAGCATCCAAAACAGCTAAATGTTCTCGTGGAGGTAAAGGGGGGCTATTTGCACTAATAGCCTACAAAATGGTGGTAAAATATGAACAAGTTAAGCTGTTCCATCACAAACCTTCGTATGAGACTCTGCTACAGCCCGTAAGCCATTAACCCACTCTTGCCTTGCTCTAGCATCTGCTGCTCTCAGTTTTAACATATCTCCTGATGCACAATTAACTGTAAAGGTTTTTGAATCTTCGTCACTGGGACAAATCACAGCACCTGCCAAATGTACTGATCCTCGTGGAACGGTTCCATCAGGTTTTTCACCTTCACAAAGATAATAATGAAGGAGTCCTGCATTAGCATCTACCATAAAAAATCGGTACTGCCATCCTTTCATTACATTTGTATATTTATACAATTGGCCCGAAAATTGTCTCTGTTTAGTGTGTAAATCCATGACTGACTAAAACAAAATTCTTTATAAAAGATCAGTACATTTACTACTCAAGCTAACTGATTTATTTTGAATGGTGTAATTTGAATTATCAAAGGTGTTAAATGTATTAGTACGCAGCTCTATACAAAAATAACGCTAAACATTGCACGTCTTAAAATTGAAAGATCTTGAAATCGAAAATTCAAAACTTTTTAAATACAGCTTAATAAATCTGCACACATTAAGTATGTCCAATAGCTATTTACTTATAGGGCTTACTGATTTTAATTCTACAGTAAAAATGATTACTTAAAATTTTGATTAAAAAATAGTCTAACCTCAACCAATTTATTATTTGACATCAAATGTCAGTACTTTTCACACTTATAAAATTTACAATAGTTCACAAAATGTAATCAAATTAACAATGTTATACACCCACAAATGTTTACAAAAATCTTAAGATCCACAATAAAAGACTTTTGAATGAATTTTGTATGACAGCGATCAGAAGGCCACGTAACCAGTGTTGCCACAGAACACTCAATTTGAGAAAAATCCCTAAACTAACCTTAAAAAAAATCCTTTTTCCATTAAAAAGAACAAATATTATCAATTATCTACGTACCGTGAGAGATTGAGTGACAGAAATTACAGAAAAGATACTTTAAATATCTCTGCTTTAAATCTACGCGAAGAGAAATGTACCATCCGCGCGAAATTTGAAATTTCAAAATGGATAATAATCTCAAGCACTATGAAATTTAAGTTTTATATTACTCGAGAATTTTTGTAGTGAGTTTCGTTTAGGAGCCGTAACTTTACCATACGAAAATGAATTCCTGGCTTCGAGTTGATATTTTTTTGCTACAGAAATGTCTGTTAATAACAGAAAACAATGTCTATTATAAAATTACATAAACTTAAATTTGATAAACTATTCATTGATTTTTTTTTCGATTGAACAAATATCCCTTTTTCTTACATTATACTTAAAATAAATCCCCCTCTTTTTAGGCTAATCAAAAATCCTTCAAAATGGGGTAAATTCTTCGATTTGGCAGTACTGAACAGAAACTTTATTCACGTGATCAGAAATTACTTAAACCAGTGAGTATGGATATTAAATACATAGTCGCTGCTTAAACTTAAGTTTGTTGGGACTTGGCAGCTCGAAACATTCTTGGCAGGCTGCTTCATATACCATTGTTGATTTTAGTTGCTAAAAAAAAAAAAAAACCAACATAACAACTCCAGTTATAAGCTATGTCTGTTTTCTCCCCATCGCAAACTTCAGAATACTGTGCTTCAGATTTAGTACTACGGTGTTGTGAGTTGTATTTCCAAGGTAGAATGCACTGCTGGTGGTTTTTAAATTTTTGCAAATACTATTATAGTGCATTTGTTGTTAATATAGTAGAGGAAAAAACGCTTACGATCTGTGTTTGGTGGCCTGAGTTTATGATACGTTTGGACAAGTTCAACCCGTACTTCATTGTTAATCACGAACTACGAAGGTGCTATATATTTGACTTTCTTTTTGTGTCACATAATAATTAGGATCATATGATTATCAAATTTAACATTGTCTGTCGAAAGGTTTATTAATTCCATTCTCCAGACATAGTAATAATTAAAGCAGTCTAAAAAAATTACCCAAATTTTGTGATGCCAAATTTGAGGTTGTTTTTTGTGTTGGTGTTTATAGTGTAAGTTTGGTCTCAGTAAAATAAATAAAATTTGATCAAATGTAGTTAATTTACCTTCATTAATAAATATTTTTCATTTGGGTCGTATTTAAAAATAATGTGCGTTTCCGATAGTATGTCTCTTTCTTTTTGGCTTACAGCCGTCAATTTATCTTTTCAAAAATGCTACAACTCGATGAAATTTTGAGAGATTTTTATTATGTATGATTTGTATTCTGACCTTCAACATAACACACTGATAACACGACTGTGGAGCTAAAACAATTAAGGCAGGTGTAACAATGGTTTAATTTAATAAATTTAATCAGGGTTGTATGGTTCGTGTCCACCAATGAATTGGCGATACAATTTGGATTTAAAGATTGTTGTTTTTCAAATGATAAATAAATAGATCAACAAAAAGTAATAATTTAATTTTGAATCAAGGTGATGTATACATACATAATGACCTCCTGTTTCTAATTATGGGTACAAGCAGAATAAAATTTATTTAAAAAATATGTTTTAACTTGCAATCAACCTCAGAAAATATAGTCTAAATATTTAAAATATCTGAAAATAAAATTAATTTTGGTCCGCAATCAACACCAAAAAATTCATTATGTTAAAAAGTTAATAAAAATTAATTTATTGCCGTTCACGAGATTCAAAGCCAAAAACATTGGTTGTACAAAACATGCATATGTTGCAGAATAACTGAAAAAACCATTTTAATATCATTTAATGAAACTGAGACATGGATCTATAAAAATAAAATATGTGATGTAAAAGTTTCGACAAAATTCTAAAAAAGTATATCAAACTTTTTAAAACTGACCTTACATTATACCTATAGTGAAGTTGTGGACAAGTTATATTCAAAATTTCATAACAAGTCTTAATACGGGAAATTACATTCTAAAAATGTGCTGACAACGTCATAAGAACCAAACATAGCGACTCCTCTTAAATAAGTTAAAAACTTGTGCAGACGGTATGTGGGTGGCCTTTTTTTGCTTTTATAATATGATTAGCCACCCTTTTTTAAAATATTTACATTATTATTTTATCATTATTATTATACATATTTACAATATTTACAAAAAATTATTTAATTAATGGTCAAATGTTTTTAAAAACTGTCCTTGAATTATTTTTGGACAAGTTACAATTAAAATTTCACAAAAATAAGTCGGTTAATAATGGAGATATTACATTTTGAAAAGATAGGAACCTTGAGCATTTTCTTAAATGACACAGGTGTTAATAAGAATTAAATCATGGAATAGGAACGGTTGACATATTTTATGGTTCATAATTTTGGTTACATCTACTGTGGTGCTACTTGTTGAATTTATATTTATTTGTAGGTTCAGAACTAGAGCCATAAAAAGATAATTAAATTGTTATTGATTTATTTGTCTCAATTATTTTTTAGCAAACGAAATTTTCATAGCATGGGTTGGTGTAATTTTAAAACCCTGTAAAGCATCTTTTGCAGCTCCAGACTGCAACTCATTTTCAAATTCAACAAAGGCAATATCATGCCTATTTGGTACCAAACGTACTTCTTTAAATCCAGGAAATCTATAAATTAAACTTAAAGTTAGTATAGCTTTAAAAAAGTGTGTAAATCTTACTGATTAAATAACATGGACAACATCATTTCACTTGTCTCATCTGGCAGATTGGTAAGGAAGAGAATTTGATTTGGTGGTTGCTCAGCATTACTGCCTCCTGGTATTCTGTTAGGGTCTTTATTTTTTTTCTTTTTCTTAGGCGCTTCATCCTCTTTAGATGGTGGAGGGCGTATCTTCTTTGGTCTTTCCTGGAAAGTACCTTTCATTTTCGAAATAATGTCAGAATCAGTTTTGGCATATTGAATTCGCTGAAACAGGCAAATAAATTTAAGGTTGTGCCTAGTGCAATGCACAATAATTTTACAATTACATATGTATAAAAATATGGTCGACTATGCTTACCATTGGTTTATCATAAAATGGAAAACCCTGCATTGATCGTAGAGCATTTGTCGAACTTTGAATTTCTTTGAAGATAACGAAGGCTTGTCCTCTCATTTTCAATGTCTTTAAAGCAACAATATCCAAGATTTGTCCAAACTGAGAAAATATTGCATAAAGTGACTTCTTTAATTCTTCTTTTTTTATTTTCTCATTTAAATTGTTGATATATATTGTATTATTTGGTCGGATATCCATTCTTAAGGATTGTTACACTGAAATTAGACATTTTTTATATACAAACGTCTACGACTAACAACTTACCTCGTTGCCAGTGTCAGTGTTTAGGTTATAATCAGTCTTCTCTATAAACCCGGGAACGATTTCATATATTGATACCGCAATACAAAATGCAAACAATTTCAAAAACACGCTGATATTCCAAACTGAAATTGCTGGATCAACGCTTCCAAACTGCTTCTTTTATAGTTGTCAGTAATGTACAAACACCAGTTAAAAATGGCATACTGCAAAAAGAAACAAATATGATAATGAAAAAAACACTTACAAAATATCCATCTACCTACGAGTTTCGATAGTTATTATCTGTGAAAAATGTTAAGATGCTACAAAGAGGGCGAATTATACCGAGTCGGCTTATGAACCACAGCTATGACGCCCACAGATGACGCCAGAAACCAGAGCCAAACTTGCCAAATTAACAAACCACATCAGTGTTGCCAATCTGACAAGTTAAACTTTCCCCAGCAACAACGATAAAATTTACTCAAAAATCCCCAAACATTTCAAAAAATTAAATTTAAAATGTTTGTGTCGACCAAGGCCAACTGAATCCATGACGCTTGGCGCGTCATAAGGCCAAGTCACTCGGCTTTTGAAAGATTATGACAAGTCAAGGTTAGTTAATAGAGAACAGGTTACCACATAAACGAGCATATGGGCAAAATCGCTTACGGGGGAGGAGAGGTGTCAGCCCCATGTGACGTCAAAATGAGGTTGGTATTACTTGGGAATTTTTAGTAACTTGTAATTTTGAGTTGGTGTGACCGATCAGCTGATGCCTTTAATCTGTACGATTTGTACCCAGAGATTTCTTAGTAACTAAGAAATCTCTGTTTGTACCGCTAATTCTGACGTTTGGTGTTAGTACTGCGACTCGTGTAACCCTATTTTGCCTTAAATTAAATTTATTTGTGTTTAAGCTAAAATGAAATGTTTTGATATATTACTAGAAAGGAAAAAGTAAACCAGTAAATGCAGATTTTCAGATTTTTTTGCATAAAAAAATCAGTTAATAGTGTCGCATTTGTTATTTTCAAGTTCTACTGGCAACAAAACATTTTTCTTGAGGTTTATTAAATTGTTCTTTACACAGGATTGAAATTTGCGAAGTAGAAGCGGTCACTTGATTAAGTTTCCGTTTTTAGTGCGTTACTCGAGTATTTAAAACGGGCAATTTTCGCGCCATTTGAGAGCCCCTTGTGACGTATCAATATGGCATCCCAATGTGGCAACCTTATCTATTAAATGACTTTGATGACAAGTTTAGAAAGTGGCGTCACCTTGTGAAACTTTTAATGATTACGATTATCATCAGCGTCACTCTAGTAAACATTTTGTGTCACTTACTGTCATTCGTTTTTTTCAAAATTCAAAGTACAGGAAATATTACCACAAACAAAAGAGAATGGACAAAACTAGAATAAAACTGACAAGAATTAAGTAAATTATTTATACTTTTAAAATTTCTCTGCTTTGAGGTTTGTGATCTAAAATTAATATCCGTTCGCAAAACTCCCGCACTGTCAGTGTCAGATGTGGAAAAAATGACCTGAGTGTACTCAGTGGTGAGATGCGAAAAACCTGTACAATATGTTGCAAAATTGCAATCTAGTGACAAATTAGTAACTAAAAATAGCTTGGCAAGTAAAAATGTCAAAAGCACTTTAACTGAAGATTTTTATCAATTCAAGTAAAGAAAGAGTATGACACACGAACGACAACGAAAGCTTTTTTTGAAAAATATATATTTTTGACCTTACTGTCCATTTCTACGCTTCTGGTGCTACAATTTGTTTGAATTACGGACAAGTTCTTTAAACACATTGAACACTTCAGCAAATCAAAAAGGTAAAATAGTTAATAAACATTTGATTTTTCATTCATTAATTTTGAAAATGTGAAATTCAAGGCGGTAATCATATAAACTTAAAAATCTTTTAGAGGATTATTTCTCATACCAACAGAATGTCATTCTGACAGTGCGGGAGTTTTGCGAACGGATATTAGTTTCCTTTTTAATGAATCCGTCTTTTCTAGGCAAATGTTCGACAGAACTGGTTTTGCGATTATTGTCAAAACCATAATGCAGATCTCATTTTGGTGTGCCTACAAACCAATAAAGAATTTTTTTGTAAAGTGGGCTGTAAAATCTTGATCAGTTGACCGCATGTTTTTTCTTTTTTTAAATAAGGTAAAATGTCCTGTATTACATCGGCGATTCTTTTTACAAGCCCCACAAAAAGTTCATTCGGATACACTAATCCACCATGATCCTGAAGAGTTATTAATTTCAGGAGAGGTCCAGGCATTGTAGTTGACACTAATGGGGCAATGCAATCATCACATTGATATTTTTTTTGTAATTTCATTATTATGTATCCGGATAAAAAGGCTACTGATGCAGAATAGAGATTCATTTCAGGTATTTCATTTCTTTGTAAGGAATGGATTTTAAAGCGTAAATCCGTAGGCAAAAATAATTCTTCTACATGTTGTTCGGCAAATTCATCAACTGTTGATCTTTGATGGGAGAGTTCATTGCAGCTAATGTGACTTAAAGTTCTTGCAGTGTTGGCAGATGACGAAGATTTTAGAATTCCAGTTCTTAAAATTTGTCGTAAGGCATATTCAGCTGCACGAGCGTCAGTAGTATCATTTGAGCCTCCTTTTAAACGAATATGCGAAAATGTCGCTTCCACAGCATCTGAACTAAATGAGCGAGTTAACACATAATAAAATCCAGCTTGTGTCAGAAGAAATTGGACACATAAAAATGTACTCTTTGCAATAAATTTTAGAGCATGTGCTGTTTCGCTGCTTAAACATTTATATCCTGTACTGGCTGAAGTGGACTGGATATCATCTATGTAATTTTGGAAAGTAGTATTCAACCAATGGAGGCGTTGATCTGAAATGTTTACATATGGGGCAACGTTGCCATCTAGTGCATGAATGTAATGTCTTCTACTTGAGATGTTATGGACTTGAAAAAAATGGAACATATTTTCCATATACAAAATAGTTGCATCACTATCAACAAAGTCTTCATATTTCTCTTCTTTTAATAATTTTAGTGCTGAGGTAACCGTTGGGGAAAATATCTGCACAGCCCGCAAAACATTCATTTTTTCAAGATTTGAAGGATATAAATGCTTTTTTGTAAGATATCTGACGGGTTTCAAAGGCCATCCTCTTTGCAAACCGTATAAGGCCTTTAAATAGGACGAGGAGATAACACCGGTTGTCGAATTCATATTATGACTTAAAAAAAGGTTCCTGGCATTTTTAATGGCATGGCAATAGTCAAATGATAAAAATATGGGCATAGGAAGATATGGGTGATTAAAATAATTTTCTAGAGTTCCTCCACACAAGTTCTTGAACAAACCCACATTGGGCGGATGGTTATCTGTTACAATGCGTAATACCATAAAACCACAATCTGTGAGAAGTTTAATAACTTGCAAAGTTAAAGAATGAAAATCAGAGGCCGGCATTGAAGAATGGAAAAAGTACCCAGCTACGATAGTAAAGGATGCTGACAGACCATTTGCTACAAAACACGCCATTTTATTTGCAACTTTGGGATGTTCTGTGATAGAATTGGAGTTAATGGTTTCAAGACCATAAATATAATCTTCTGTTCTACTGTAATACATTTTTTTCTTTTATTGACATGTCGTCAATAATTAACGAACATAATCTTTGAACGGGGTGCTTCAAATTCGCTACTTCTGCGCACAAACGTTCCTTGATTAAATTATTTTGTCCATTAAAATTACAAAGGTGTCTAACTATCGTCGATCTGGATGGTAATTTAACTAAATTTTTATGGCAAAAATCATAACCCTTGGGTGAACAATATCTCCACACCGTACAGAGACGAACAGACAATTCGGACCATCTAGGAGATTTCTTGTTATAGTTATGAAGAAGATCTAGTAAAAATATGGCTTTTTCATCTGAATTCTCAGCATCAGTGTAAATTTTTTCGAGTGCTTCAATGCTTTGTGAATGTTTTTTCAACTTGTTTTCAAATTTTTTAAGTTTTGCAGCACAGCGGGCATGCGATCTCTTTTCATTTTGCAGTTCCAAAGTTAAGGTGTTATATTTTTCTCGTAAATCTGCAATTTCATCAGAAGATTCTGCTGCTGGTGGAAGTTCACAAACGATTTCACAATTTTCTACAGGGTAGGGGGCATTGCATTCAAGGTTGGATGTGCGGGAAGAGGATGGGGCAGGATCCATATACTTTAACAAAAATATTTATTTAACAGTTATGTCAATCAATTTAAATAAAAAATAAAGTAGGTGTGCTTATAACTATGGTAGGTACAGATCCTATTATTAAACGCTCTCCTCCAAGAACTTTTTTAAAACATTTTTCTTCGAAATGTTTTCTGCAAATTACGGTGTAGTCTGTAATTTGGAATGAATCTACAAATAAAAAAGGGGATATTTAAGTCTTAAAATTAATTTTATATAGATGAAACACTCACCATAATGCTTTTCAAAAAACTCTAGCCATTGAATTCTAATTTGTGGATTTTGTGGTATTTCACACAGTGGTAATATTTTATTCTTACAAAGAGCACAGCATCTACCCATTGTTACAAATAAAAATAATATATAAGTTCAATAATAAACGGAACAATGATTAAAAACACCCACAAGGAACCGAACAACAAAACACAACTGAATATAACAAAATTAATTAATCAAAAACGAGAAAATGGAGAATAATAATAAATAACCGAACCAAGAAACGAGAAATTATTAATAAGCGACAAAGAATTAGGTTTCGAAAATTAATTGACAGTATGACTTTTATAAATCTGTTTTATTTTCACTAATAATAGGAGTAATAGACAACAATCATTAACAATAGTAAAAAAAAATCGTGGGAGTCAAAACCCTTCGCATTTGAGTTGGGAAGTTACGGTTTTATACTGGTTTTTATGACTGGGGATAGAGGACACCACTTTCTAAACTCCAAGGCTTGCTTCGTGAAAACCTCATTTTTTGGGGAGTGACTTGGCCTTATCACGCGCCAAGTGTGATGGATTCAGTTGGCCTTGGTGTCGACTTATTCAAGTTAATAACACAGTATACTATACAGTAGAGACAGCTCGTCAAATATTGGAACAACGTGTTCTTACCCAACCGTTTTTATTAGGCGGGATTTTTGACACGAAGTGGAATATTGGTTGCCTAAATTACAAATACAGCTCGTCCGTAAAACAATGGTAAAAGGAACTGATACCATAAACATCGGATGAATATTAAGAAACTAAAACCATTTTGGAGTGTGGTATGAACACTACGAAGAAAATACCATTTTGAACAATAAAAAAGAATTGTGCTTATATTTATTTTATTCATTAATAAAAGTCTATCACTTTATCAAGTTAATTTCAACATAAACATATCAACTACTACTCGTATTTTGTCAATGCCTTCAATTTTCGCCAAGTGTGAACCGTTTGAAGAGTCAGAAAGTGAAGAAAATACCATTTTGAACAATAAAAAAGAATTGTGCTTATATTTATTTTATTCATTAATAAAAGTCTATCACTTTATCAAGTTAATTTCAGCATAAACATATCAACTACTACTCGTATTTTGTCAATGCCTTCAATTTTCGCCAAGTGTGAACCGTTTGAAGAGTCAGAAAGTGAACGCTGTTGTTTTCATCTTCCCTGGGAAAAGTACTTTGATGTTTTTGGTTGAATTTTTGTTGTTAGTTAAATTAGTGAAGTGATTCTGAGAACCTTTTCATAGTAACATGGACTGCAGTGGTAGACCACCTCGTGATTGCAGGCACAATGAAAAAACCTGCTTCAGGGGCTTCTTTAAATTTCCGTCGAAATCTGTAAGATAAGAAATATAAAGAAGTATATTATTCTATAATCAATAAAAAATTATTTGGTATATAATTTTTACAGCACAGTGAAAATGCCTATAGTTGTAATGCTTTAGGATCTATTTTACTAGCAATTGAATCTAAAGAGAGTAACCAGAGATATGGAGAAGGAGAATGAGCTTCGACTTCTGCGCATCGGTACACTATGGGGGCCGCCATTTTATCAGTTAACCTTAAAGTTTTGTTTACCTACGAGGTTACGACGTTGTTGAACCAGTTGTAATTTGGAGTTAAAATTATTACTTAATTTGTTTTACCGTTAGTGTACGTGTGAACGTGCTTGTTAGTGTTAAAGGACATTATTATTGACAACAAACATGTCTTGTACAGTTTCTCACTGTAAAAATTGTCAACGATTTCGTTCAGAAGGTGTATCTTTTCATCAGTAAGTTTTCTTCATTATCTTATTAAAATCGAATACGTAGATATTTATAATTAATAACAATTGGTTATTGCAATACTATGTGATCAATATTTATTATATCTGATTTTAGGTTTCCGAAAGATCGAAAACTTTTAAAAAAGTGGCTGATTGTTGTGAAAAAAGATGACAGCTTCAAACTGACTAAGTATAAGCTGGTGTGCTCAGATCATTTCACAACAACTGATTTCATTGTTGTAAATGAGAGAAAACGATTGAAATCGAACGCAATTCCCAGGGTGAATTTAGATGAAAGTCTAGAAGCTTCTTCAACTTCAATGAGTACTGTGAGTGCTACTTCAGCTGATATTTGAGAAGAGTCTCCATCGATTATACCTCAAGGTGTAAAGAGGACATTAAGGTTTGAATATTTTATTATATTGAATTTTTTACTACTGTTAATAATTATTATTTAGTGCTGCGCAGAGATACCATGGAAAAAGCAGTAGCAGTACAAGTGGAAGTAAAAGCAAGAACTCAAAAAGTAGTTCTGACAGGAGGGAAGGTGATAAGCTGGCGTTACATAAAGAAACTACATGAATTACAAAATGATGAATTCCTAAATGTTGCAAACAAGTTGAAAAAGGCACATTTGGAGTGATGGAAACATAAAATGAAAGTAAGTTGTTTTCCTGACAATATTCCTTATTGACAATAATTAAGTTCTATTATAGGTGAGTTTAGCAGCACAAACTCTTAGCAAGAGTTGCAGATGCACTTGAATTTTTAAAACATCTTGGTATTAGTGACTTTCAAGGTTGTGAAACAACAATAGAATTCATCAGAAGGATAGATTCTTTATTTGATATTCTCAATTCCTGAAGTGTACGTGCTAGAATTTTAAGGCACCTTTGAGAGAAAACAATGAAGAAATGTGGCGTCCATTTCTCATCGACACCAGTGAGTATCTTCTGAATTTGAAGGATGTCACTGGCAGGCCTTTGTGGTGCACGCCCCGAAAAACGTCAATTCTGGGCTTTGTTATTTCCGCTACGTCGTTCATGGGAATTTTTGATGAATTTGTTAGTAGTAAGAGGTTGAATGACTTGCTAACATAAATGTAGTCAAGATCATCTAGAAATTTTCTTCTGCTCAGTGCGGTAAGCTTTTAAAAAAACAATTGTATTACTTTTTTATGCACTGGAATTACACAAATCTGTATTTATTTTTCTGTTTTCAGATCGAGAAATGGGTGAAACAATAACCCTACTCCTCTACGATTTTGTAAAACTTAGAAGATTGCTTCTATTTACAAACATAACGAGGGAAGGAGGAAATTGTAAAGTGCTTTGCACCACCTGTCTGCTCTCTGTTAGCATTGGCCCAAAGCAAAAGAGCACAAATGTTCAACAATCAGTTGACGTGTTTGTCTTGAAAAAATATGATCTTGATATTTTGACTGAAGCACTTGCAGATCATGACTATGAACGTCTAATTTTATTGGGCTGAGTGAAGTGGCAGAAAACGTGGCATATATTGGTAGCTATGTTGTCAAAATGCTGGTGAAGACGTTTAAGTGCGCAGACTGCATTTCTTCTTGCATTGAAACACGAGGAAGTGACTTACAGTTTTACAGATTATTGGACAAAAAAAACATGGGTAAAATAAAATACTTACAATAGTTATTTTTTAAGTCTTAACAAAATTTTGATTTTAGGTGGGCTTATTAAACCTTTTGCTGGGGTTGTGAAGACTTGTTGTTACTGTTAATACGAAAAATTTTGCAACTCACCGATAAACTTCCAAGCGATGAACAATTTTTTAAAACTTTCGGCATGCCAGCATTCTTTTTCCTAATTTAGAAGACCCACGCACTCGAGACGGTGGCCATCGATGAAGGCCATTTATATATTATTAAACAAATAATTAATGCCTACATGCGAATAAGAATGTTTAATTTGAGCAAAAGACTTTCACGTCTTGCTCAAGGCACTTCTGTTAGACATGTGTACACATAATTAGTACTGTTTTCGCATCAATAAATATATTGAAGTATAATTATGTTTATTTATTCGTTTAAGGTGAAATATATTTTAGTTGTGATTTATTATTAGGTGATTGTAATTAATGATTTTAAACTTCCCGCCCAATAATGAAGCAATTGTCTAGGGATATCAAGTTCTGTTAGTGATTTGTGATTATGTTGGCAACAGTCAACTGATAAAATGGCTGCTTTCAATTTTAGGCCAAGGATTTCGTCTGCGCATGGGGAAGCTCATTCTCCTTCTCCATATCTCTGAGAGTAACCAGTGTCAAATTATTCATACAGTTTTAAGCTGAACAACTTTTGCACATAAATCTGTGGAAGCAAATATGACAGACTACAGACATCTGGACATGGGGGAACAAACTTCTTTAAGTTATGTCTGTGGATACTCAATGAAGAAATGCTGGATGAAATATACCTGAGAAACATGTAGTTATTTTGCCGTTGCACCTAATGTCATCATATATGATAAACTTCTCTGTTACTTCAACGCCTTTGATGATGATCCACCATTTGGTAATCCTCAAGCTGGCCATTCACATTCCAACGCTGCAGTACGATTGTATTGGATGCAACTGTTGTACAATTCTATTAAAAAGCAGCAGTACACACACACGTTACGACCTTGCAGTTAAAAATTTGCGATCGTGATGACAACATGTCCGACGAAAGGACGAAAATGTACTCTCACGGTTTGAATAACATACAATGTCGAGTCGTGTCCACACATGATCAAATTTCCATCCAATACAACACGATTGTACTGCTGCAGACAGACTTGTTCACCAACCGTCCACATCCAACTCATTTGCTTCATCACATACACAGACGTTCAAAAACACTTCAATTTCGTCGTATCCAACACAATTGTACTGCGGCGTTGGAACGTGAGTGGAGGGCTTATTCACCTTTTATGTTGCAGCCCTAGAAAAACGATTTGCTTCACTATTTTCTACCAACTCAATTTTACCTTCATGTGGGCGATATACAAAAGCAGTCCTCGTAATTGTGTCCATACCAGAATACCGCATCTCTGTTCCCTGTGTACATTTTCCACAAGATTATTTATTCTATTTATTTGTTCCAACGCGCATTTTCTATTCAGTAAAAATAATAAATCACAGTTACAATATTAAATACCAAACATCTACAATGTCAAATTTGACGCACAATGTTGACATGGTGGTAAATTTTATTTAGTTTGCCACTACAGTTTCAAACCAAAATTCAAGGTCATGTCCTTACCCAACTGACCGATTATTGTTGTTCTAGTCCGTTACGTGTATTTCTTATGGGCATTTCAAAAGCTGTCCTTACTGTATGGTATTCTGTGTTAATAATTTGAGAATGACGATATTTAGTTGGAAATAAATTGAAAGAGTTCCATGTTAATCACTCGAACTCGGACTGGACTTGCTTTCTACAAAAATGTACCTTTTGCTATAGGATTAAGACATTATTATTTTTATTAATAAACTTACGTTTAAGCATAGATTAATATAGATGCGACATAGAGGCTGATTTTACAAAACCACCCTTATTGACATTGGCACAGTCACTGAAATCATATAGACTAGAATGGCCATGTATATCCCAGTACGCTTGCTTTGTTTGTAACAGGGATAACCTCAAAACTAAAAGGCGTTGTGTTTACGTTTCCCACGGGGACAGTGGCGTGCATTTGAAATTTCTGAATTTACTTTAAAAAAATCATACAATCACATTCAAGTACATACAGAGTCATCAAAATTGATTGAGAGAGTTGGTAAACCTGAACTTGAATAATTTGGTTTATTAAGTTGTATAAAAATATTAGCTGTCAGATTTGAAGTTTCAAGTTTCAAATTTCAAAACTCAGTGGCGTCTTTTTTCGACTTTTTTTTTGGTAAAAACATTAGTTGTCAGATTTGAAGTTTCTAATTTTTGTCACGCCACTGAATTCATTGCCATATAACCTTAAACAAATCTGTCATAAGGTTGACAAACTTCACGACAAAAACAGGGGGTACCAACTCTCTCAATCAATTTTGATGACCCTGTACATACCTAAATATTAAAAAAAAAAAAACCGATTCAAACAAAAATGTATTTAATTAATTTAAAAAATATGAAATAAACAATAAGCACGTGGGTTATAAGAACACAATAAGTACAGTTATTATGACAAAAATAGCATTGTGATATGAATAATGATAATGCAATTTATTCATTTCGGAATAAAATAGTTTTTGTTAATTTTTTGCGTAACGTTCGTACATCGGACAGTTTGGAGGTTTCGTGATATATTCGTAGATTAATATATTTTTTTAAAATTAATTTCGGTAGTTCAATGGAATGATTGTTCCATATTTCACCATCAAAAACGTGGTTTCCAAATGATTGAAACACATCAGATGGAAGTTCTTGAATTATATTCAAAATTAATGCCTGAAGGGTCTGTTCATTTTGAATAAACAATTTTGATTCAGCCTTTAAAAAACGTACAGCTTGTTCCCCAGCTTTACAAATTAAAACAGTTAAATTTGATGCCCTGTAGAGCCGACCAAAAGTTTTGCGGATTTGTAGCTTTGACAAAACTTCTTCTCCTTCCAAGAGTTCCTTACACCTGCTACATACAACATCACGTTGCAAAGATTTGACTATAAAGCCTGCAATGTATGCAACAATATCTTCAGCGCAATCTGTTAATATCCACGATTGTGAGCCCAAATAATCATGATCCTCCAAAAATTTTTCAAAAGTATTAACAGACTGCTCTACTGTTTCATTGCTTTCACCAGCTGCAGTGTGTGTTAAAGTGTTTGATGTTGCACTGGAACAGTGGAGGATGGATGTCGTATCTAATGCTATAACATTAGCAGATCCTGAAGGTCCTACTTCAGTGTGGACAATTAATCTTTTATATGTCCTCTCAAATTCTCTAGCTGTCGGATTATTATTCATCCCCAGGCGATTCCTCATGGAGCTAAAAAACAACTCTAAATGGTCTTGGGATAGTTTATACGTTAATATGTAATGTAATAGTTGTTTTTCTACTACATATTCATTGTATAATCCCATCAAGCTGTCAATACAAACAATGAATCCTACAAATCCAGTTTTTCTGCGACAGTTTAAAACAGAAACTTCGTCTTGCACTTTCAATTTTGTCAAGTAATTTCTAATTTCTGATAATCGTCTAAAAACTTGCTCTCTATTTGTTTGGGATAGACCTCTTCGTAATTCTACAGTACAAAATCTGTTTTTAGAATTTAACACATCAAACAAATCATTAATATGTTTCGTAAATAAAGCTGTCGCAGAAGCACCTTCAAATTCCTTCATCTTGAAGTCATCCTCCAATGTGATCAGAGCACAAGATACACTATTGCTCAAAGTTTGAGCAGCTAAATTAACTTTCATTGGTTGATCAGACCAATAAAGATGCTTTTTCCGCAGCTTCGTTCCCAATTGCAATTGTACATCTTCTTGCAATTCCACTAATTTCTCAATAAACTGCCACTTTATAATTCCACCAGATCCATCCACTAACTGTTTGTATACAGCAAAACAATTGCGTAATAATTTAAGCATATGACATGCATCTAAGAATATGAAGAGTTTTTCATTAGAAATTGGATGGAGGAACCATGTTTTAAACTGCATGTAATTTTTAAAGTCTGCACCTAGATACTCCGCCATAGAAAGATTTGTTGGGGTTCCATCAAATGTTAAGGATGTTACAATTACACCAGTCGGATGCACAAACTCCAATCCTTTTACTACTAGATTGGCCTTTTCCATAGCAGATAAACCCTCAAGCAGAAAATAACCGATGGGTATTTTCCAACTACCATTAAGTGCTACAAGCATAAATACCAGTGCTTCTTTTGCTTCAGCTAGTTCATCGCTACTGAGCTCCACACCTATATTTACATAACCCGTAAATTTCTTGCCATCCCACTCAATTTTTCGTTTTATCGCCATCTCATCCATCACCAAATTGCATAGAATTTGACTTTTCCCGTTAGTTTCTTCCACTTTTGCAGCCAGAGCTCTCTTTGATTCTTCAGTAAAACCAGGTGAGCCGTCAATAGTGTAGTACCACTTGGAAAGCGTTCTTGGATGAGGCAAAGTTTTGTTAAATTTTTGCCGAATATAATTGTAAGCTTTTGCAGAAAAGAAATGCAGTGTTAATGCAAAGGCCCTTAATGCTGGGGAATATTTGGCTTTTGAAGGTCCTCGTAAAAAACGGCGTATTATTTCTCCACTTTCATCAGGTTGAGTAGCCTGGAAGATAAATAAAAATATAAATTATTTTTTTGTTACCTAAAGTATCAAGAAAAAAAACAAAACAAAACAAGCAATTAGCATTAACACCAAGCTCCTATACAATTGTTAGTAAAAACTTATGTGGTACTATTAGTACTTATAAGTAAATTTTTTATGCAATCCAACTATTTCATAAACCTTTGATATACAAGTCTCACATAATAAGTAAAATGTCAATATTTGTAGGTTGAAGAATTCATACCTTTATAACATCTTCTGCTTGACTTGAAATAAAATTTTTCTCACGGAAGAACTTCAGCATAGACTTCATAGAAAAAATGTTTGCTTTTAATCGCCTCTTTGCTTGCTGTAAATTTCTTATTTGCCTACTTTGTTTCTGAAGCTGCTGTTTGGCCATTCTCAACTGCACTCCAGCTTTTTTTGGAGTAATTGTTGCTTCACTGGACCAGTCCCCCATGTACCGCTTATTTATAATTTTTCTTCTAAAAACATAAACTCCATTATATATTTACATCATTTATATATTGATATAGTCCATAAACTACCTCTTTGTTGGTGTTGCAAAAGAGCCCCTTGTCCCCAACACACGCTCTGTTTCACTAGCAGTCAATGTTGATGAACTTGTGTGTGTCCTTTTAGCTACTCTCATTATTGATGTACGACCATTATCTGACTCGGTTGCTGTTACTGTTGAACTTGATTGTTTTTCTCCCCTTTCACCTTTTGATGTTGATGGACTGTTAACACACATCATAATAAGTGAATGTTACAATGCATGACTTCAAAAATTTATACAAAGATAGGTACTTACATTTCACCTGGCATCAGCAAAGCAGTTGATGGAGCATTAACATTACTTTGTTCTTCTGCAGTGCTAAAAAATTAAATATTTATAACATTAATTTTTATACAGGGTGCCGCATCCAAGTCTGGACATAGGGAATTAACATGGCAAGTTGGTTTTTATTTTATAATATCTCCCCGGATCACTTTAAAGCTATTACTGAGTGATGCCTTTGTGGAGGTCGAAGAGGGCTATCGGCCAGTATTTTTTTCAAATCGTTGCATCGCGTTCATTTACTGTAAAAAGGTTTTAAAAATCGTATTTTGAAATTCGCGCCCGATCCGAGTTGTCGCGAAATGTTCCGTCGCACTGTCGAAGTTCGGCGATCGCGTCTTCAGATTAGCCATGCAAAATGCAAATGTCAAAGTGAAATTAGAAATTATTCTCAGAAATCAACGAAGAACTCAAACTGATTTATTTTATCCGGTGTGAGGATTATTGTAGGACAAATTAAACGGAATAAATGCACAAATTGATCCATTCATTCGTCATAGTGCGCGAACCCGTCAAACGATTCATCTCGAACTACACTCAGGCTGTATCCAAAAAGCCCGAGATGAAGACTTCGAGCAGCTGGTCTTCCTGTAAACCCCATCGACAGCATTCTGACATGTCCTGGGAGCCCTTCAAGCTAGGAATGTACATTCGTACCGAAAAGACGAAGAAGAAGAAGCTAGGGATGTACTCGCGCTGCCTCACTCAGTAATCACTGAACGACTCAAATTGAATTATTTTATCCAATATAACGATTATTATTGTAGGTCAATTTAAACGGAATAAATGCACAAACTGCACAAAATGTTTTATTAGGTTATGTTGGTGGTGCTGGTCGAGTCTTTATTACTAAAATCTCATTAAAATGCCATGTTCTACTGCTATTAGATGAAAAAGCGAGGGCCCGCTTTTCTTATTGTGTGATGATAAGATTTACCATCAAAAGAGCTGGCGCTTTTGAAGAGAACCTTTTAATGAACCATTTAGATAACTACAAATAACAAAACTTAACAATTGTTGATGAATGAAGTAATGAAATATTGTACGAATCTGGAGAAGTATTGCACTATTTTCAAGAATTGCTCAAAAAGACTGCTCTCAGCAGCCGTACAGTAAGTATGCCAATCTTCAAAACTCCTACGCGTGTTGATTAGCATTTGAGTTGAAATCTGAAGACAATATTGCTGGATTGCTTGTTTCAGCGCGTCTCTGTTTGTATAGCTCGTATTGTTCGAATACAGATGCTCGTGAAGAAATCTCCAAAGAACAAATTGCCAGGGGTTTAGATCTGGCGAATGCACAGGCCAATGGGGCAGTGAAAACTTTCCATTCCAATATTGCGGGAAAATACTGGTTCAAATAAACAACATTTGTGCGAGTTGTATGGCTGGAGATTTGATCCTGCATGTAAAAGATCTGCTGCAGATGCCGCACCCTTCGAATCCTAGGAAGTATTTGCTGATATTGTCCTACTTCTGAGCATTCAATCCAGATTCGATGAAAAAAGGTGCAATGACATGATGTCCTAGAAGCCCCAGTCACACATTGACAGTTGCACGCCATTGATAACGATGGTCATCGACCACGTGAGGATTGTGTATTGCTCAAATTTGATCGTTCTGACGATTATAACTTCCCTTAAGACCAAATGAACATTCGTCAGTAAAACAAATGTTCCTCAAAAACTCTCCATCAGCCTAGATTTTCTCAAGCGTTCCTTCGTAAAACTCCATATGTGAGTAGTCCTCAGGCTTTAATTTTTTGTCATGATGCTTTTTGAAACTCTTCTATCCCATCTGTTTAAGATCCCTAAAAGACGTCGTGCCCACCTGATAAGAATCAGAGCCAGTGAATTGTTTCTACCACGGATCGTACAAGAGCTTGAGATAATCTGATTGGTGCCAATGACACGGCATCCCTTACAACAGTTACAAATTAGTAAAAGTTCTTAAATGCATAATTCAAATTGTGGCGCCAAACATGCACCTGTTAACACCACCTGATTTTATGTAATTTTTATTATCTTTGAAAATAAATGTAACTTTGTTTTGTGAAATATTATTTTTATTTTTGTTGTTGTTAACACAATAAACAAATAAAACAGTAATACACAAGTTTCTGAATCCCAAAACACATTCGTAATACAGAAAAATATTTTAAAATGTTGATGAGTGAATGTTCTAGATTTCTCTCTCAAAAATTTCTTGTAACGAACATGTTTCCATGCGGCAAAAATTCCATCCCTGCTTAACGAATGTAAAATCAATTGACTTCCAATCTTTGGTGATTCAAAAAAAAGTGTGAAATGTATCCAAATTACCTACTAATTAAATTAGCCGTCGAAGAACAAGCAGGCCCTCGCTTTTTCATCTAATCCCAGCTGCTCGAAGTCTTCATCTCGGGCTTTTTGGATACGGCCTGAATGTAGTTCGAGATGAATCGTTTGACGGGGTCGCGTACTATGACGAATGAATGGATCAATTTGTGCATTTATTCCGTTTAATATGTCCTACAATAATCATCACACCGGATAAAATAAATCAGTTTGAGTTGTTCGTTGATTTCTGAGAATAATTTCTAATTTCACTTTGACATTTGGATTTTGCATGGCTAATCTGAAGACGCGATCGCCGAACTTCGACAGTGCGACGGAACATTTCGCGACAAGTCGGATCGGGCGCGAATTTCAAAATACGATTTTTAAAACCTTTTTACAGTAAATGAGCGCGATGCAACGATTTGAAAAAAATACTGGTCGATAGCCCTCTTCAACCTCCACAAAGCCATCACTCAATAATAGCTTTAAAGTGATCTGGGGAGATATTATAAAATAAAAACCAATTGCCATGTTAATTCCCTATATCCAGACTTGGATGCGGCACCCTGTAGTTAAAACAATCAATACCTCAATTCGTGTACATCCACACGTGGTTTTATGGGATGAAGCCTTGGTACGCTTCCTTTCTTAAGTCCTTTTTTCCTTGTAGATGGGTAAAGCACAAAACACGTGTTGCTGAAGTGCTTAGAACACACATATGTGAAATTTGGGAGTGCAAGACCTACCAAATTTAGTGCTTTGATCCATTCTTCCCTCAAGTTTGTATCAGTTGGTAACCTTTGCATGAAAAAACAGCATATATTGCGATTTTACATCCGTTTTCACATTTCACAAATTTTCATCATAAACAATCAGTATGTTACGCCACTGGATTTACAATATTTTGATAAAGATTTGTTACTTTTTACCTGTGGAAGGACGTTGTTGATCCTTTTATGTAGACTGATCCACACACTACACATGAATTTACCATTATTACTTTTTGAAAAGCTTCCGCAATGAAAAAAATGCACTGAAACACACAAATGCGTGGTCAAATGGCGATTCCAAACAATCCACAGCTGGCCATCAGTACTTTCGCGGCATTATTTACGATGGAGGGGATTTAAATGAACCAATCATATACTGTGTCTCGAATAAACACAACACAACAATTTTTTAGGTTATGTGGGTTACAAACAATAAGTCCGCGTACTCTTTCTAGTCTATATGATTTCAGTGGGCACAGTACATTGGAGTCCTCAACCACAGTATACTATCAATAGAGACAGCTCGTCAAATATTGGAACAACGTGTCCTTACCCAACCGTTTTGAAGAGGCGGGATTTTTGAAACGAAGTGGAATATTGGTTGCCTAAATTACAAATACAGCTCGTCCGTAGAACAATATGAAAGGAACGGATATAAACATCGGATGAATATTGATAAACTGAAACCAATTTTTGGAGTGTGGTATGAAGACTACGAAGAAAATACCATTTTGAACAATAAAAAAGAATTGTGCTTATATTTATTTTATTCATAAATAAAAGTCTATCACTTTAGCGAGTTAATTTCAACATAAACATATCAACTACCTATTTTGTCAATGCCTTCAATTTTCGCCAAGTGTGAACCGTTTGAAGAGTCAGAAAGTGAACGCTGTTGTTTTCATCTTCCTTGGGAAAAGTACTTTAATGTTTTTGGTTGAATTTTTGTTGTTAGTTAAATTAGTGAAGTGATTCTGAGAACCTTTTCATAGTAACATGGACTACAGTGGTAGACCACCTCGTGATTGCATGCACAATGAAAAAACCTGCTTCAGGGGCTTCTTTAAATTTCCCTTGGGATCTGTAAGATAAGAAATATAAAGAAATATATTATTCTATAATCAATAAAAAAACTATTTGGTATGCAATTTTTACAGCACAGTGAAAATTCCAATAGTTGTAATAATTTAGGATCTATTTTACTAGCAATTGACTCTAAAGAAAGTAACCAGTGTCAAATGATTAATACAGTTTTTAAGCTGAACAACTTTTGCACATAAATTGTGGAAGTAAATATGACAGACTACAGACATCTGGACATGGGGGAACAAAATTCTTTAAGCTATGTCTGTGGATACTTAATGAAGAAATGCTTGATGAAATATACCTGTGAAACATGTAGTTATTTTGCCATTGCACGTAATGTCATCATATATGATAAACATCTCTGTCACTTCAACGCTTTTGATGATGTATGATTGTATTGGATGCAACTGTTGTATAATTCTGTTAAAAAGCAGCAGTACACACACACGTTACGACCTTGCAGTTAAAAATTTGCGATCGTAATGACATGTCTGACGAAATGACGAAAATGTACTTTTATAGCTGCTCTCACGGTTTGAATAACATACACTGTCGAGTCATGTCCACACATGATCAAATTTCCATCCAATACAACACAATTGCTGCTGCAGACAGACTTGTTCACCAACCGTCCACATCCAACTGATTTGCTTGATCGCATACACAGACGTTTAAAAACACTTCAATTTCGTCGTATCCAAAACAATTGTACTGCGGCGTTGGAACGTGAGTGGCGGGCTTAACATGCTACATGAAGCATTCACCTTTTATTTTGCAGCCCTAGAAAAACGATTTGCTTCACTATTTTCTACCGACTCAATTTTACCTTCATGTGGCCGATATATAAAAGCAGCCCTCGTAACTGTGTCCATACCAGCATACTGCACCCCTGTGCCCTGTGTACAGTTTCCACAAGATTATTTATTCTATTTATTTGTTCGAACGCGCATTTTCTATTCAGTAAAAATAATAAATCACAGTTACAATATTAAATACCAAACATCTAAAATGTCAAATTTGACGCACAATGTTGACATGGTGGTTAATTTTATTTAGTAACAAGGTTTGCCACTACAGTTTCAAGCCAAAATTCAAGGTCATGTCCTTACCCAACGGTCGATTATTGTTGTTCTGGGGGTCGATTCTCGAACTCGTTCGCAAAGATGCGAGTACGAATAGATGCGCATGCCAAGATGCTATTCGAAACGAAAATCCGTCGTCTTGAACGAGATCCAATGCGAATAGCAACTCGATGCGCATACGAAGGCCTCTGTTCGAGTGAGGATATGGCAACAGCGGCGAAATACAGAGGATATTTAACTGCGATGGTTGGCAGAACTCACGCGGGGTGAGTTTGAATCCAAGAAGGACTATTTTAATCTGTTACCTCCAAATTTATTAAGCAGCAAAACACGTATTAGCAGGATTGACTCGATTTAAATTATTGCTTTAAAGTATTATTGTTTTTTTTTTTTAGTTTTCTTTACAGTTTGGAATATGCAATGCATATTACGGCCCATTTAATGCAAATTTATATCAAAATAAGTTGAACTTTAACTAGAATACAATATTTCCAACAAAATGGAACGATAATTCTTTTAAATTGTATTTTAAAGATTATAGGAGTAAATATTATAAATAACACTATCAATTCCATTTTTGCAATGTAAATTACAATAAATTCTCTTTATTGTTCAAAACTAAGAAGTACAACTCATGGATGACATTAAGTCGGATACTTACTATTTTAATCCCAAATAATTGACAGACTACAAAAACATAAAAAAATCGTGATTAAAAAAAAATGTTGATTTTATGATTTTATGCAACCCTACGTATTTAATACAAATTCTTGTGATTTTTTTACAATGATGCAGATATAAACTTAATAATGTTTATTTTTGAGTGGGACCACCGCAGCCAGCAGGTATTTGCATATTATTATTATTACTGCGTGTACTCTCCTAGTTTATAGAGAATTCTTAGCGTTTGGTTACCCGATATTTATTCAGGTATATTTATGGATACCATTACAACCGTTTTGTACAGTAAATGATGTTTCAGAATTCATTTTAGTTTTTATTTTTGAAACAACTGCACGTATATTTGAAATGTTCGCAGTGTCTAGCCAGAATCACCTAAAAATTATTGTTACAACCATAACAAGAACGTGTTAATGTATTATTAGAAATTACTCAAAATATCCGTTGTTTCTTCATACATATGTAGCTATTATGTGTACTACACAGAAATCGGCTGTTTCAATTTAAAATTTTTAAATTTGCATCACAAATGTCAAAATTGTAAATGAAATTATAAAATTCCCATAATCAAATTGATACATTACAATTTGTGTATTTTTGGAATGGTAATCCTTTCTATTAATGTATATTAACAGATACAGCATATTAAAGATATTATATTGACGTTACAACAGAACGACCAAAACCAAACAGAGTTTTAGGTTAGCTTTTACCACTCGCAAACCAAAATGCGATCGCATCTACCCACTCGTAACTTGACGTTCGTATACGCTCGAACATTTGCGTATACCAACGTGTGCGCGCGGTTCGAGAATACCGAATCTTCAAAACCGTTCGGAAGTTGGCCACTTGCGTATGCGGAACTTATTCGAACGAGTTCGAGAATCGACCCCCTGGTCCGTTACGTGTATTTCTTATGGGGCTTTCAAAAGCTGTCCGTACTGTATGATATTCTGTGCCTCAACGTCAACTGCCAAAGATAAGCGCCAAATTTAAATAGTCACCGCCCATAAAAACCTTGTTTCACTATAATTGTAATTCGTGTGGCCTGAATGAAAGTGAAGGAAACAGTAAGCAGCTTGTAATATTCTGGTAAATCTAATGTCAATTTGTCGGAAATAGAACGCGTCGTTAAAAATATTTTGACATTTCTTCTAGTTACTTTTATTCCTAGTTAGAAACAAACACTGCTACCAACATAAATTGAGGTGTCCGCAACCAGGGCTATGAAAGTCTCAGCTGATTCCATAAGAAATACATGGGGAGCTTACGGAACGACATAAAGAGGTCACTAGCGTCACTAAAGGTGCTCCGACCTTGAAGAACATAGTTTCTTTTTCATTTTAGGGTTTTCGGTGAACGTTTTGTCTGGTTTTGTCAACAAGAAATGTTATATTAATTACGGAATCATATGGGATGTTGGGTTATGGGGTTAAAAACAAACGTAAAATTTATTTTAACAAAGTAATAGATACTTACGATACATGTAAAAAATACTAGAAAATTCCAGGCTAAAGAGGTCAACAAACTGCAGGTTAAACGAAATAGTTTAATTTTCGATGTGTGCGTGTTTGAGCGGTCCAAGATTTATTTTTAAATTTTAGTGTGTAAAAAATTCTAACTCTAATAAAAACTGAGACGAGGTAATCAAGAGGAAAGTCTTTGCAGGGGTGGTGGAATTAGCCAATAACACGTGACGTCACGCTGTGGCGGGAACTCAGCGTTTGACAAGCGCCGTGAAACTCCATAAGTGACAATGTTAACATTTTCGCATTTTATTTAAAAGTATGGGTATTTATCTAGAAAATAAACACGTGAATAGCTTCTTTCATATCTTTTCTGTGTATCAGGGTGCTTCTTTTTGGCGATTTGAGTTTAAAAATATATAATAAAAATAAAAATACAGAACGCTGTTTTGGTCTGAATTCCTCGTCACTCAAAATACATCCGTGTGTTTAAAGCGGTAAATCGGAAATTAATATTTTCGTTTGAGGTTAATGTGACGGGTTTAAGTGAAGGTGTGTAATTTGTTTTTAAAGTATGGATAATTTAAGTGATTATGCACGATGTCTTTCCGTCAAAGAGAAAAACAGATATGTACAAAAGTTAAACAATTTAAACGGCGTAGATCCTTATGCAATGAGTGCAAGTGATTTTAATTTGTGTTTAGACAATGTCCCTACCATAACAATGAATACCATTCTAAACTTTTTTATTTTTGGAATAAATAAAATAACCCACAATGAAATTTGTGCATTCAAAAGTCAAGAGGCATTTATTCAGTTTTCTCTATTTTTGTCTTTCAACATTACAAGTATTATGAGTAGATTTATTTTGATATCCTAGATTTTGTGATGGAACATAATCAGGATGGTCCACATCTGACAAATCTGCAGGTTAACCTAAAAGAGCACCAATGTAATAATTTATTAAAAACTGTAAATCTAATAGGTAGTTACTGTACCAAAATAAAATGATCCGAACAAACATAGGAATACTTTACTTTGGCTTCGTTAAATCCACTCGTTTCAAGGCTTTTAACCAAAGCTTCCGCCTTTTTTCCCCATCCTGTATATATTTACCTTTATTGTTGCTAATTGCTGGGAAAGGAAAATAAAATTTGTCCGCATTTCTGGTGCTTCGATTCGCGCAACCTACAACAGCACAAAATTTAGGCATTTTCTCCTAAAATACAAAATATTATAATATTAAGATGCTAGTGTATTTAAAAACCATTGATGTACATTAACAAAGAATTAATTTGCAAAACAAATAATATAAGATGCAGCGAAGTTAACCTGCACATCACATTGGAAAACATTTTTTTTTTAAGCATATTCAAACGTTATGGTGCCTTTTACAGACATCTACACAGTCTAGAAACTGTAACAAACTTACCAAACTATAAAAACACAGTTGACACGCTCTCAAATTTAAATGAATTCCGAAAATATTAGCATTGACTCTTATGAGAAAATAGGCTAGTTGTCAAACGCTGCCATCTTGATGACCTCGGATGACGTCAGTGTATTTGGCTAATGGTATTTTTGTATGGTTCGTTTTTTAGCCGCAAACCAGTTAACGAATACAATGCATAAATTGGGAAAAACTCACAAAATATATTACCCACTACCGAAGTATAAACTGCAAAATGTTTAGGTGGTATCATTAAATCGCCAAAAATCACATCTTCATTGACTTTAAAATGTCACACAAGTAAAACAGGATGTACCACTTCGTAAGAATGTGCAAAGTTCACAACAAACTTCGCAGAAGTGGTGGTGTAAGAATTTTCGTATTAATGAGTATCCACAAACATACCATAAACAGTTGTGTTCTTTCAAGGTGAGTTTCCGGTAACTCACATCACTTAATGATGGTTGAAGAGGCCGGAATACAGGGGAGATGTGTTGTGGAAGTTTGTTTAAAAGAACACCTTAGCAAATTTTTCTTTTCAAATAAAATAGTGTTTCACAGTTGGTTCTTGCACTCGTATCGAAATAATCTGTATATAGTAAATAGTTTCCGAAACACACTTTGGAATTGTATTGGTGTGGGATTTATACATTTCCCAAATTGACGTCTCACAGCCAAACAAATATGTCAAACAATACTGATTTAGTTGCAGCAACCTTTTAGTGAAAATTGTAAACAAATTGTATTCTGTGAAAACTATTAAAAATAATAAGCAAAATGTTTATGTTCCTGAAGTTGTTTTTTATTTTTTTGTGAGTGATTTAAAAATATTAAGAGTGAAATAAAAATTTTGCAATTCACTTGTGGATAACAACTTATTTGTCAGACTTGTTAAGGATTTAATAAACGCTGTTTAAAACGTCAAAATTGAATAAAAATGTTTTGCTTGAATATATTAATAATTTATAAGAAAGAAAAAAATGGATAATGTCACTAGTACATGCCACCCATTTTTATTTTTGTGTACAATTATTAGTATTATATGAATCACATACGAATGCTACGAAATATTTGAATCTTCGTGTTTCCCGGGAACGGGCTCCCAAGGTCACACCCGTTCCGCAAATATTGCTGAAGTTTCGTTACTGATCTACTGTGCCGCAACCGTCATTTGATTTAAACTATGACGCCTCTCTCTGTTTTCTGGTTTAAGTATCGATACGTACTTTCAGCAACCAAAGTAAAATTTATTCTCGACATTAATAACTGAATTGAATTGAATCGCAAAATGTACGGTTGCCTTAAAAAAAAAAAAAAACAGGAAATGATATTTCACCTGATGTGAATTGAAAATTTAATTTGTCAATTTATGTCTTGTCTATTTGACAATAACATCTGTTAAAAAGTAACTGATATTTCTAAATTCTGACACATAAGTTTTTTAACCTAAATTCTAAAAAGCCGTTTCAAACTATGAAAAATTAATAAAATTTGACACAACCACTTCTGACATTTCCCGTTTTTTTTTGAAGCCAATCGTGTAAAAACAACATATATTTTTAGACAAATGACAGACAGCACAGCGCATGGTACAGGGTTTTCATAAATGATTATAGGGTCGCAGTAGGTTATGGATGTGTGCCGCCTTTCGCTTTATGTGTACTTTACTAAATGTGTCCTTGGGCACGACAAGCACCACATGCATCTGTATAACTGGTTGCCTAAATGCTTCATGATTAAATATCGAAAACGCATGCGTCAATACACATGTGACTAACATAACAAGACGATACTGGCGATAACAAGTGAAATTTTTGGTTGGGTGTTGATATACACACGCACAAATTCCAATAACTAAATCATCCACGGAAAAAGAAGTTCCACGTTTAGGAGTATATTTGTAATGAAGTGCAGGAGGCGAAGCGCCCGTGTGTCCTTTCAAAAAGTTAGCACGCGTTGGTGACCATAAAAAGTTAGGTTATGTTAGCAACGGCTGCAATGCTGCAATTAAAGAATGCACGAATGCGAAATTTAACAAATTTTTGTGGCAAAAGGAAGCATTTGCATAACATTTGAAGATGAGGAACGTGATCAAAAGATGCTGTAGAAGAGCTTTGCACAAACAGTTTGTGCGAAATCGAGAAGCGCGTGTTCTGCGCGATGTTACGGAGTTAGATAAGCGCAAATGTAGTTCATTTTCAAACTGTTTTTCAGAAGTTGAAGGCGCATTGATGACCAGTGGGACCAAGGGCCTTTGGTGGTTAAATATGCCTTTATATACATGGACACCAGATGCATGTGCTTAGAAAGATGATTTTTGATTAAGAACTCAGAGCAAGAGTATCTTTAATGGTGTATACAAATTTGACAAACAACGCATTTTAATGTCTGATAACTACATTTCCTATCCATCAGTTCTACTTCATGAAAGTTAGTTTTGGTTTGTGAGTGCATTAAATGTTTTACAGCAGATTCTTTAGCTACATTATCAAAACTTATCTGGGTGGCAAGTTTATGGGACTTACTGACCAAAAGGTCATGGTGAATAGCTGTAAGTCATAAAATAGATGAAATTCTTGACCAAGATGTATCCTTCAGTAGTTTCTTCAAAGTGTCTAAATATGTTTCCAGCCCTCTATTGGTTTACCACCAAAATATTTGTATTTCAAAGATCTGTGCAAAGATTTGGCGTGCATGTTGGTGTTAATGCCTGCGTTCTTTTGATAACACTGGGCCCATGACTTCATGCGCTCTTTATTTTGAAAGTAGTAAGTGTTTAAATAATTCACAAATTTACTTTTTACCAAAAATTTAATCAGCTCTTGCTTCAGTCTTATAAATTTATTTTCATCTGTTTCTTTTAATACATAATCTAATTTTGTAAGAATCTGATTTATTGTTCCAGGCATTCCAATATGTAGCTGTAACTATCATCTGTCATGAAATAATTGGGTACCAAAACCGATATTAATGATTTTATTTCACCAACCAGAACCTCTTATATGTTGGTGTCCTTTCAGTTGGACAGAATAAATGTTACTGGATAATCAATATTTTTATCATCTAACACATGGACTTGTGGTCAATTCAATGTCATAGAGGTTTGTCCCATGTGTGCCATCTACACAAATGATTTTGGCGCCATATTTTTTTAACATATACTCCAGCCCACTGTACATGGAAGCTAATGCAGTCATTTTTGTGCAATTTTTCATGTTCTGATGGACAACAAGATTTTCCTTACTTCATTTACCAGATATATTATTTTTTCTGCAATGTGGGGAATGTCTTTCATAGTCAGAAGATTAAATCTGGTACATGAACTGAGTTCTAGATTTTTAACAGTTTCAATTATTTTTTCGTGTGTTAAACCAGTGCGAATTTGTTCAACTAGATATGTCGTTTCTTTTGTAGTCAGGGGTTGACAGCGAAGATCATTGTGATGAACAACATGAATAGCAATAAACTGAACAAGTACCACTGAGGAAGAATGATCAAAGTGAGCTGTAATTCGTGAAGGACAGACTCCTTGCATTTTGATACTGCCACTAGTTTTAGGAGCTCGTATATTACATTTACTAACAGAATTTGCTAGATTACTTCTGACATTCATAGTAGAGAATAATAATTCGTCATATAAAAGAATTAGTTTTTAACTCTAAATCTGCTTTTCGTGTAAAAAAAATCTTCCGTTTTCTTAAATTGTAGATCCTTTACTTCCAACTCAATGTTATAAACGATGTTGAAATGATTCGTTAATAAGTGAAAACGCTGAAAGTTTTCAAAGCATAGCGGACAAATTATTCTGCTAGTTTTTAATATTTTTGAAATTGTCGCCGTGAAAATATCTTAGATGTCGATTTGTACTTGAAATTATTTCACACAATAAGCACATTTTGTTAACACTTCAAAGTTTTGGATGCTCATACTGAAATATGTTTTGTCATGTCTAGTGCTTGTTTTTACATAATAAAATAATAGAACTTTATCTATCCATTGTCCTTTTCATAAAAATTACACGAAATTCTTTAATTAGCCACAAAACAATAGTATATTACAAAATTAATATTTCAATTCCCGCCACAAAAGTACATATTCAACGAAAATGTATAAACGTAAAAGATAAAAATCCAAATATGACTTTGACTGCTGGGTAGCTTCTAAACCCTCATCGTAGAGTCATATAAAATCAAGGACCACCAGATGGGTGAACGGACACGGATAATAATCAGAGTTTTTACGGTTTGAGATTTCATTCAGTTCTGTCAAAAATTTTGTTGTACATAATAAATAGGTATTTAGAACGTAGTGTGATTTTATTTTAAGTATCAAGCTTCAAAATATACTTTCGTTGCTAATTTTAAAGACTAATCATCGCTTTTATTGTTCTACCACTTTCCAAGTGTGATTTACAGTAATTCTCGTTGATCCAAGTTTAAAACTACAAAATAGCCTTTTTCAAGGCTCTTGGTGCTTGTGTGCGAAAACTTTGTGCTCGAAGCGAAGACCGTGAAAATGGTTTATTCGGTTGAGCAAAACACTTTCATCGTTATGTCTTATTATCGCAATGGGACATTCGTAGACGGAGCGTGGCTGTATTCTGTAGCCGCTTGTAAGCAAGAATATCTGGCCAATTACCCTGATTTGGAAATTCAAGAAACATCATTAGAGGCTCACATTAGAGATGTCATCAACAGATTTGTTCGCACTGGCAATGTCAACAAAGGGAAATCTTCTGGGAGACCTGCAGTATCTGAGGAAGTTGTTGATGATTTGAGAGAAAGACTCGAGCAGAATCCCCAAACATCTTTGACAAGATTATCTCAACAGTCAGGAGTTCCCGTAACCACATGTCACAAAGTAGTGAAAAAACGATTGCATATGCATCCTTACAAAATAACTACTGTGCAACAACTTTTACCAATAGATCCTCCACGCCGCGTAGAATATTGCAATTGGTTTCAGAATACTTTTCATGATGACGGGTTACTGGATCTTACATTTTTTAGTGATGAAGCATGGTTTCATTTATCTGGCTATGTCAATTCGCAAAATTTTAGAATTTGGTCCGCGGAAAATCCACATGTTTTTGTAGAGACGCCTCTTCATCCTTTAAAAATTGGAGTATGGTTGGCAGTTTCTCGTAGACGAATATATGGACCTATTTTCTTTCATGATACTATGACTGGAGAGAGGTATAGGCAACAGATTTTGGAACCATTTATTCAACAACTTGATGACGAAGAGCTGCAGTTAGGGTACTTTCAACAGGACGGCGCGACTGCACACATTGCACGTGCTACATTGGAATATTTACAACAACATTATGACGATCGTGTAATAAGTTTAGGAGTGCAGCATGCATTTCCACCACGTTCCCCAGATCTTACGCCATTGGACTTTTCAATATTTGGATATTTGAAAGACAAAGTGTTTCAACGGCAAATGAATAACTTGGCAGAGTTGCAACATGAAATTGAACGATGGGTTCAAAGTATTGATGGAAGGATGTTACAGAACATTTTTGAAAGTAAGAAAAACAGAGTGAATATGTGCCTTGAACTAAATGGTGAACATTTTCAACATTTACTGTGATGTTTAACCACAATAAATTTGTTTGTTTATTCCATTATGAATTATTTTTATTTTTAACAACAAATTGACTATCAAGAATGTTGGAGTTCCGCGCATGAGGGTAACAAATTACGCCCGCGTAATTTCAAATGTTCAAATTCTATGTGGGTGACCTAATTTTGCATTGAAACGAATCTGTACACAAAAAAAACAACAAAAATCAAAAACTAGTCTTTAAAATTAGCAACGAAAGTATATTTTGAAGCTTGATACTTAAAATGAAATCACACTACGTTCTAAATACCTATTTATTATGTACAACAAAATTTTTGATAGAACTGAATGAAATCTCAAACCGTAAAAACTCTGATTATTATCCGTGTCCGTTCACCCATCTGGTGGTCCTTGATTTTATATGACTCTACGATGAGGGTTTAGAAGCTACCCAGCAGTCAAAGTTATATTTGGATTTTTATCTTTTACGTTTATACATTTTCGTTGAATATGTACTTTTGTGGCGGGAATTGAAATATTAATTTTGTAATATACTATTGTTTTGTGGCTAATTAAAGAATTTCGTGTAATTTTTATGAAAAGGACAATGGACAGATAAAGTTCTATTATTTTATTAAGTAAAAACAAGCACTAGACATGACAAAACATATTTCAGTATGAGCATCCAAAAGTTTGAAGTGTTAACAAAATGTGCTTATTGTGTGAAATAATTTCAAGTACAAATCGACATCTAAGATATTTTCACGGCGACAATTTCAAAAATATTAAAAACTAGCAGAATAATTTGTCCGCTATGCTTTGAAAACTTTCAGCGTTTTCACTTATTAACGAATCATTTCAACATCGTTTATAACATTGAGTTGGAAGTAAAGGATCTACAATTTAAGAAAACGGAAGATTTTTTTTACACGAAAAGCAGATTTAGAGTTAAAAACTAATTCTTTTATATGACGAATTATTATTTTCTACTATGAATGTCAGAAGTAATCTAGCAAATTCTGTTAGTAAATGTAATATACGAGCTCCTAAAACTAGTGGCAGTATCAAAATGCAAGGAGTCTGTCCTTCACGAATTACAGCTCACTTTGATCATTCTTCCTCAGTGGTACTTGTTCAGTTTATTGCTATTCATGTTGTTCATCACAATGATCTTCGCTGTCAACCCCTGACTACAAAAGAAACGACATATCTAGTTGAACAAATTCGCACTGGTTTAACACACGAAAAAATAATTGAAACTGTTAAAAATCTAGAACTCAGTTCATGTACCAGATTTATTAATCTTCTGACTATGAAAGACATTCCCCACATTGCAGAAAAAATAATATATCTGGTAAATGAAGTAAGGAAAATCTTGTTGTGCATCAGAACATGAAAAATTGCACAAAAATGACTGCATTAGCTTCCATGTACAGTGGGCTGGAGTATATGTTAAAAAAATATGGCGCCAAAATCATTTGTGTAGATGGCACACATGGGACAAACCTCTATGACATTGAATTGACCACAAGTCCATGTGTTAGATGATAAAAATATTGATTATCCAGTAACATTTATTCTGTCCAACTGAAAGGACACCAACATATAAGAGGTTCTGGTTGGTGAAATAAAATCATTAATATCGGTTTTGGTACCCAATTATTTCATGACAGATGATAGTTACAGCTACATATTGGAATGCCTGGAACAATAAATCAGATTCTTACAAAATTAGATTATGTATTAAAAGAAACAGATGAAAATAAATTTATAAGACTGAAGCAAGAGCTGATTAAATTTTTGGTAAAAAGTAAATTTGTGAATTATTTAAACACTTACTACTTTCAAAATAAAGAGCGCATGAAGTCATGGGCCCAGTGTTATCAAAAGAACGCAGGCATTAACACCAACATGCACGCCAAATCTTTGCACAGATCTTTGAAATACAAATATTTTGGTGGTAAACCAATAGAGGGCTGGAAACATATTTAGACACTTTGAAGAAACTACTGAAGGATACATCTTGGTCAAGAATTTCATCTACTTTATGACTTACAGCTATTCACCATGACCTTTTGGTCAGTAAGTCCCATAAACTTGCCACCCAGATAAGTTTTGATAATGTAGCTAAAGAATCTGCTGTAAAACATTTAATGCACTCACAAACCAAAACTAACTTTCATGAAGTAGAACTGATGGATAGGAAATGTAGTTATCAGACATTAAAATGCGTTGTTTGTCAAATTTGTATACACCATTAAAGATACTCTTGCTCTGAGTTCTTAATCAAAAATCATCTTTCTAAGCACATGCATCTGGTGTCCATGTATATAAAGGCATATTTAACCACCAAAGGCCCTTGGTCCCACTGGTCATCAATGCGCCTTCAACTTCTGAAAAACAGTTTGAAAATGAACTACATTTGCGCTTATCTAACTCCGTAACATCGCGCAGAACACGCGCTTCTCGATTTCGCACAAACTGTTTGTGCAAAGCTCTTCTACAGCATCTTTTGATCACGTTCCTCATCTTCAAATGTTATGCAAATGCTTCCTTTTGCCACAAAAATTTGTTAAATTTCGCATTCGTGCATTCTTTAATTGCAGCATTGCAGCCGTTGCTAACATAACCTAACTTTTTATGGTCACCAACGCGTGCTAACTTTTTGAAAGGACACACGGGCGCTTCGCCTCCTGCACTTCATTACAAATATACTCCTAAACGTGGAACTTCTTTTTCCGTGGATGATTTAGTTATTGGAATTTGTGCGTGTGTATATCAACACCCAACCAAAAATTTCACTTGTTATCGCCAGTATCGTCTTGTTATGT